CCCTTTTCCATATTAATACTAAATCGTCACAACTTGGTTCTCTCTATTAAAAAAGGAAAGTGTAAGATAGAGCAGGAGAACTTTTTTTTTCTTTATTATTTAGGACATTCATGAAATTTTAAGAGAAAACATGCCACTATTATTTCAAACTTGTGAATGCACAGCATGTTCTAGCTCTTCCATAAGTGAACCTGCAACTAAAAATAGCAGATAAATAAAGGAGCCATTAGCAGCCTAGTAAGTTTTATTCTTTTCCCCTCAGAAAGTGACTATCAGTGGGGAAAATGATATTCATAGAGTTACAAAATCATTAAATTCTCAAGCACATATTCTTCCTTCAAGTATTCTTTATTTTCTAATGGTTTGTCTAAACCATTGAACAAAAGTTTTTTTACAGGTTACAATTGCTTTACATATGATGCTCTGTGGTTCATTGAAGCTGCATTTTTATTCTCTTGGCTTATGTGGCTCTTCCTGTGCTGGAGAAAAGGCAGGATGGGGAAGTAAACAGAGGAGAGAGGGGTGAATTCCTGGATGTCTGGAGTAGAAGGGACCTTTGTGACCTGATTTCATTGTTCAAAGAAGGCAAACTGAGTCTGAGAGCTAGTGGGCCACTTGACCCACAGACAATAGGCTCCAGACTAGAACTCAGCCCTCCCACCCACCCAGACCAGGGCCCTGAAGAAGAGATGGGTAAATGCATAGACTGGGATTTGGTAGAAGCCAAGAAGGAGAAATCCCATGATTTTACCAACTCCAGTGGCGCACCACCTAATGGCAGCTTCGGGGCCAGAGTGCCTGGCTTAAATCCAAGTCATCCACCAACTAGACGAATTATTGACCCCACTAAGCCTGGCCATCGGGTATAATCATTTCTGCATTAGCCTATGTGTATTGAGCCCTTGCTATGTGCCAAGTACTGTTTTTAAGCACATTAGATATATTAGCCTTTAAATTCTACTGCATAAATCCAGAGGTTAAATTTAGATTACCTGAATTAACCCAGAGATTTCTCAATAAATATAGTATCACTTGGTCGATAATTAAAGAATATAAGCTCTAAACAATTAATCTCTAAATATTTATAAAATATGGGAAAAACTTATTTTTTAAATGTTAGTGTGATATGATGCAATGTTTTTCAAATGATGATGTAAAAATTCCAATTTTAAGGTTACATAGTGAATGAATACTCTCATGAAATGAAGTAGTAGCTCTCTTCAAAACATCTCTTAAAAGGCATTCAAAGATTTAGGTTCCATTTCCAATTCCACTTCCTTGCTCTGCCACTCAGTACGTGGGATTGGCACTCCCAGTGTGAAGTCTTTCTAGCATTTTCTGCAGAGTAATCAGGTTTGTAGGCTGTTGACTTTTTCCTCATTCCTGGCATAGGGCGGGACAGGACTGTGTATAGTTTAGTTACTATTTGTTCTAAAGATAGGAACAAAAAAGCACCCTTAAAGGAGAAGACTCGACAGGTTACTCTTCCTGTGCTCATTTCCTGTAAGGAATCCAACAGAGCCATTGTCTCTCAGCCACATCATGGGACAGTCTCTTTCACAGCTTCGGGAACCTGGCAGAGTCGAGTCTCAGGCCCATGCTTTTTGGCACCTTCATCTCTGCCTCTCTGTGTTCCAAAAAATATATACACCGACCCAGCCCACCCCTTTCCTGAAAGACCCGAGTGCATTGTGTTTTAGGATGACTTAGGGCAGGAATAATTCATTTGCTCTGACAAGTGACTGTTGCTTTCTTCTGTTGACATGTTTTGCTGCAACCAAGATACTCTAGTGCCTTAAATATATTTGAACTCTATGTTCAATGTATTTGAACATAGAAGGAATCCAGGCTCTGGCTAGGGTCTCAGTAAGTTAGAGAAACATCCCAATACACCACAGTTGAAGATTCAATCCCCAGTCAGGGCACATAAAAGAAGCAACCAATGAGTGCATACGTAAGTGGAACAACAAATTGATGTTTCTCTCTCTCTCTCTCGTTCTCTCTCCCACTTCCTCTCTCTCTCAAATCAATAAATATTTTTTATAAAAAGAATTCCAGGGCTTAGTTTTGAGGAGTGAGCTAAGAAGTAATTCCAGTCCCAGGGATTATTAAAACATTGCAAAGTACTGTTATGAACTGCTATGTTCATTGGATGCATCCGTTTTAAACCACTAATATTCTCATGATGCTGTGAGTGAAGACTTTGTTTTATTGATGGGCATTCAATTCTAAAGCTCATAAAAAAAGGCCAAGAGTGGAAGCAAAATGACGTTGGTCTGGTTTAGTGTAACTCAAGCAGATGTAAAGGCATGCCTTCCTTTGGGAAATTAAAATACTGATAATATTTGCCAGAAAGATTAATACAATTATAATTTACAGCTGAAAGTTTCTTCTTCTTAAGGAAAAATATTACCTCAGCATGTCAGTAATGAAAACTTTGAAATGGAAGTCCATAAGAACATGGAGTTATATTTACAAATATTGACTGCACATAACTTTTCAGAAATATACCCTAAATTAGACCCAATTGTGTGGGTCATGGAAGGCAACACTGGTAAAGGACTTCACTTACAGGCATGGTGTCTTCAAAACCAACCCAAAGTCAGGCTCGGAACAAGTTGGGCAGAAACTCCGATATCTCTGAGCCTCAAGGTTATATTCAAAATGATGATTTCTGTGAAGAGTCTAACCTTCACAATAATGCCCACCAGATAGCATTGCAATGAGGAATAAATAAATATATGAACATTTCATCTCATTTCCCAGAATATTCTAAACATCAAAAAAAATAGCTGTAACTATTAATACTACAACATGCAGAACTAAAGTTTCACCTTAGATGAGAATATTGCTAAAAAATGTATCTTCAAACATCTAAAATGCTTTCAACCCACTAATTTCAGGTGAAAGCATCTAAGTTTCGATTTTCCTTTGTAGTTTGTCCCAAATAGTAGCAATGAAAACCATGTATTAAAAGGGCAACCTGCTGTCTGCATGGCTCATCAACTCATGGCATACCCCAGTGACCCCACCAGGGGTGTATTATTATCGCTCTTCCCAAATGTGGAAACTCGGACTCAGAATTTACATCAGTTGCTCAAGTTCATCCTGCTGCTAATGACCATGGCAGGTTTTCCACCTAGTTAGACCACTAACGCCCATACTCCGAAACTTGACTCTGTGCCAGAAATCAAAGGGAATAGTGGGGGTGGGGGTGAGGGGGCTGAGAGACTATTTCTTACTTTAAATAAAGTTAACCTGGATTAACAGTTCTCAATTTTTTGAAATCAAAATATCTTTGCACTCCAAAAAACATTGGTGAATGTCACAAAACTTTTATTTACAGGGGGATATATTAATTGATATTTCCGTACTATATATTATAAATTAAAGATTGAAAAACACCTGTTTATGTGTAATTATTTAATTTTAAATGATAATGCCAATGAAAATACCAATTTCTTATTTTATAAATGATTTTCTAAAAATAGTAAACAGGCACACTACATGTGAACACACCTATTTTTATGTAAAACATCTATTTCCCAGAACAAAACACGTTTGTGAGGAGAGCTGGGGGGACTTGCTTCTGCACTCCTTCTGTTGTACTGTCACGGACTGTGTGGAGTCTGGGGAGGGGTCCAGAGGGCACGCGAGGCCCTGAGGGGGAAAAGGGCAAGTAGCCTCTCATAGTTATTATAAAAACCGTTGGACCGTTGGGCCCCCTGAGAGATCTCAGGGACTTTTGGGGGAACCAGCTCACACTTTAAGAAGCACACACAGTTGAGGTAAAATCCATATGGGAACTGAGAAATCCTAGTGCCAACTTTTAATCTGCAGACACAACCCAAGTTTATCCCTCAAGCACCTGCTCACCCACAAATTGTTTCCTTCTACTGATCTGGAAAAAAATGATGAAAATTCGTCATCTCTAGGTAATAATACACACCAAGCTGGAAAATATTTAAAAGTAATAATATCACTTGCTAAAACAAAACAATGTTATAGAAAATGTGTCAGAAATATATTTGGTTATCTCACACTTCAGAGACAAAAATTAATGTATTCTTATCTTTACAGCATGGCATCCTTTGTTGCACAAATGAAATGTAATTGAAGTGTCATTCTATCATTCTGGCATTAACCAAAACGATTCAGTCTGTTATATTGCCTCAGTGAAGGTACTAATCAAATATTAGCAGACATGTACCCTAAAAAAGTAAAGGGTGCAGGAGAGCATTGGAAATTTTATGTAAGGGGAGAAAAATCTTAAATATTTAAATAATGTTTAGATGGGGAAGAAATTGAATCATTTGGTTATGTATGAAATTGCATCTTCAACATGTTTGAGCTAAGAAATATGATTTTTCTTTCTTGCTTTAATCTAAGCCCAGAAGCAAGGCATTTGTAAATCGTATTTGGTTTTGTTAAATCATGTATTCAAGTGTGCCTTGCATTACCATATTATTTCTAAATGAAAATATGGTGGTAGTAATGCACTCCACTCATTCCTAGTGATTTTTAACCTTATAGCACTACCGGTGTTCTAGAAGAGTTGTGCCCTTATTCACAGGTAAGTTTGCAGAACTGAAGAAGGATCATTTCAGTGGCAACTTTGTACCAACAGGAAAAACACTTCACTTTTAAAAACTGAAAACACTTAGTCAAAGAGAACTTACACTAAAATGAAGTTTGATCTCCATTGCCAATTAAACCATTCCCCCAAACAAGCATTGAACTGCAAATTATGCAAAAGTCACACAGACATTGACATGCCCAGATGCTGGATTTGATGAGACAGGACAGACACATCAGTGTTAATACCCGTGTGTCCCTCTGACACCGATTCCCGGCTATTTTACACCGTCCAGAGGCGCTGTTACCCTGCAAGCGTTTCCTCATACCCAGAAGCTCCAAGGAAAAGAAAGCATGTAGTGTCCTCAGAAACAGAAAACTTGGCCGAATAGCACTGAAGAGGTTTTTTTCCCGGGTTTCCCCAGGTGCTTCGCAGCAACAGCCTACTCGAGTCCACAGACTACTGGCTGCAGAACCAGAGGACGCCCTGCCAGATTGGCTTCGTGGAGGACAGGTCTGAACACACGGCTTGCGCCTCCGTAAGTAAACACAGCCGGGGATGTGGTCTGAGAAAGCAGGGTGGCGGGCATGTGTCCTTGGGCTTAGGACAGAAGTTTCCTGATTCAGGAAATGCGAGGATGCCCAAGTCTCCTTTGGAAAACACATACTGGCTAATATGGACTGTTAACCAGAAAAAAAAAGAAAAAGAAAAACCACCCATAGACTTCATGTTTCTACTCCCATTTCGCTCATTTCAACAGGTTAATTAATATGATCAATTATTTGAAAAGGGAAAACCATGATACTTTTAAAACTGACCAGCAGAAAGATCCAGAAACAGGATTGTAGGATGAGAAATGAAAGACCACGGAGGAGGTCTCTGGAGTCCTTTTCAATATATTGGATAGATAGCCCTTGCTAGTAGGCATTCCCCATCATGAAGGTGGTGGGACATTTCTCTGCCATTTTTATAAGTTACGGTCATTGTTTGAAAACCTTTTCAACCTAAGAAGTATACAGGCATGCATTTTCATATATAAGCATACATTTTCATGTGCTAGAGTCCAGCTTTACACACAAAACCCTCCTTTTTAAAGGAAGGGATGTCGTTAGAGGTAAACACAATTCTTAACAGCTTAGAATGTGAGTATCTGTGGTTGCTGTGAAATATGCTCCTTCCTATATGCTCTACAAGGTTATTTGTTTCATTTGAATTGAAATTACCCAGTTCTTACAGGGTCATGATTACAGAGATTGAGGGAGAACATTTTCAGAAAGGAGAGAAATGTAACTCTCATAACTAAATTGAGAGCACTAGCTCTGAGCTATTCCTGGAGGTAAGTTGCATGCCAGCACTTCTGTTTAAAAAAAAAAAAAAGAAGCTGAAAGTGGATGGAGAAGCTTTTTCTACATAATGAACAGAACCAGAAGGACCAGCAGACAGACAGAGGATGAGAAACATTTCACACTGCAGAGCTTCACAGCACGAGCAAAGCAGTGTCCACTCAACAGACTTAATTCAATCTCTTGGTCTAAGCAAGTGATTCTGAATCTGCTGCTTTTTGATCCCTTGTCTAGAATACTAGTTGACGGCTGTGAATCATTGGGGAAAACAAAAAGGATTAGGTAGAAAGTAATTTGATAGTGATACCTTCTCTGCAAATTGAGTTCTGAGATGAGTTGGAAAACTCAGGCGTTAGCTGATACCAATCTCTAATGACATGGCTATAAATCGTAAAAGGAGAGAAGTGGAGAGTGAATGCTGTCAGCTGCCACACTTTGGCCTAATGTGTCATCCATTATTAAAAAGCTCCTGTATTAAAAAGTCCCCCATTTGAAAAGGTACACAGTTTGGGGAACCAAAACCTCTCTAGTGAAGGACAAAGAGGTCTTCTCTAAATTTTTTATTTTTGGAATCCAGCTTGCTAATCTATAATTAGAGATACTAAATTTATAGCCAAACTTAAGATTATCATTGAATCTTCCTAGGTGTAAGAAAACTCTCCTCCCATTCCCCACCAGTCCTAATGGACTCAAATTTGGACTTAAATCTGTCTTTCTTTCTTAATTCTTTGTTCCTTTAGAGTGTCAAGTGACATCAGTGAGGTTGAGATTGATTCACCCTGTCTTTGTGGTTCTTCGGATATTTTTCAAAGGGGGAAAAATCAAAACACAAATAAAATATATAGTGGATGATTTGTTTTCCCACAGTGGTTCACCATAATTGAAACTGACACCAATGCTGAAAAATGGTTCTTGATTCTAAACCTGCATTTCAGGATCCCTTTGAAAAACTAGCTCTAATCTCTCGAAAAGTATCCAGTAGTCACTTTCATAATTAACAAGTCCTTTCTCTTGTTCTGATCTGGCACAGATTTCTAGGATGGGGAAAAGAAACAGAGTCCAGAGTTGGACATTGCTAATGGGCAGTTGTTATCTAGAGGAGACATAGGGGTTAACCATAAAGATCTCTGACCAGGCCAGGGTGCTCTTGATCAAAAGAGCCACTCAGGAGAAGCCGAAACAGTCAAAAAAAAAAAAAAAAGCACCTAATTCTTTTTTTTTTTTAAATTCCCCAATACAACAAACAATATTATCATTATTAAAGTTTACTTGTTTTAAATTTAATTTCATAAAATCATCCCAAATCTACACCCATTTACAAATAATCACAACAGAATCTAAGGAACCTGTAGCAATCTTGTTCCATGTTTCTGTTCATAACTCTGGGGTACTCTATTCTACGTGAACCATTGTTCTTTTAACTCATTTTTCCTAATCGAACTTAGTCATGTTGTCATATTTAATTTTGGTTGGCTTGGTCCCCATTCCATTGTACTACAAGTACAGTTTCCAAATTTGCTGTGTCTTTGAGCTACCTCAGTGTACCTCATTTTTCAAATTCAAGGTGTCCACTTAAAAATTTTATTGGAGAAAAATCTCAGATTTGGAAAACCTTTGGGGTGGTGTGGGGAGGGTCAGTCCTGCTGTTTGTTCCCAAGCTTCCAACTATGAGTTTGAGTCATTATTTCAATCGTAAACTGCATTCATTTCACAGCTAAAACAAGAAGGCTTAGGGAAGGGCAGTCTGAAGCAGTCAGACATATGACAGACACACCTGGCAGGAACTACGGGCCAGGAGGTCAGAAGTCACATTTGTCACTTTTCAAAAGGTATCAAATACGAAAACTGTGCTTATGATGTTCTAAATAGCATTCTCCTATCGAGCTATATAATTTTATTTTTCTTTTCAATTTGCCATTCTGAAAAAAATGTATAGTAGACTTCAGGGTATTTTTTTAAAACCTGATTATTTACTTTATGAAGGAGGGGAGGGATGTGGGGAGAATCATGGACTAGGAAGCCCATCTCCAAACTCAAGAGCTAAGACATCCAGTTGATAGTTCCCCCTCAACTATAAGAGCTGAGGGGCAGGAATTGCACTTTCCAGGAGTCTTGACTTTTTTTATTAAAATGAATTTAGTTTCTTCTTAATCTATTATCACTTTTTGCTGTTGACTAGAATTTGATTTTTGATTTTCCAGGAACCATGTTTTGGTTTAATGCTTTATTAAAATAACCTCAACAATTCACATTATTTTTATCCATAGTTTCTGTCAGACTGGTCAGTTCAAGACTCTTGGTTATCACCCTGCAATAAATGATACCATTTGGCATGCCTTCTAATCGATGAATCATGATATTTGAAATGTTTTACATTGACCTTATGTTTGTAAATAAATACATCAAGTCCTCTGGCAGCCTTCCATATCCCATACACGAGGCTGCAAAACTAAGGAGCTACTAGACAGCAGGTTAGTAGGTGTCGATGCAAATGTGACCCAATGGTAACAGTGACACCATGATATCTCAGTGGTGCTTTTTATTTTATATTATTTCTCCAAATATCTACATACCTATTCTGAAAACTTTTTTTTAAAGTTAAGAAAGAGAAGAACACTCAACTTGATAAGTCGGTCTAAGGAAGAATCTAGACTCATATGATCAGGGAAATATACTTGTCAGCTACAGACATGTAGAACTGTACAGAAACATTCTATATTATCTAGTTCAGATATTTATCAAGTTTTCAAAGCAACTTTTATTGTATTTTTTGCCTTCAAAGGTCAAGTTTGGAAATAATTTTTTTAATTCTTCAAATTTAGACTTACAGAAAAATTGCATGAAGAATACAAAGAATTCTCAGATTCCCCAAGTGCTGACATTTTCATATTTACTTTACCCTTTTGTTTTTGTGTGGATAGGCACCTGTGTGTAAATACGCAATTACAATTTTTTAAATACTTTTGAGAATGAGTTACAGATATGAGGCTTCCCTACATACTTCAGTGTGGAATCTAAGCATTTAAAACCAGGATTGAACCCAGAGCAGAAGATACCCTTGTTTCAAGCTACTGATTCGGTACCTACTGCAGAGAGATATTTAATATGGATTCAGCAGTTTTTAAGGGGAAACTAAATACTGCTTGCCTCAAAGTAAAAACGCAGACGCTCTTGGCAGATGTCAGCCAGACTGAACAGCACAAAAGCCCAGTATTTTAGCGGCCCCACTCACTCCTCAGGGGACAGCTGACACCCAACAAGGTGTTCCTTGACTATGTAGCCTCCTGGACAGGTGGGGGTGAGAAGGAGCTCTCAGTCTCCACCCCTGGTAGATTATTCCTGCCAACTTTATCCATGTTTGCTCTTCAAGAGAGATGTTCTGGTAAGCTCCATTTTTCCATCTTGAGATATTTCTAGGAGCTTCAGTATCTCCAACTTAGATCTATCCAGGAGGAAACTATTTTAGAAGTTTGCTTCTTAACACAGTTTTAAATAAAACAGGTAAAGCAAGCAAGCTCTGAGTACGCTAGAGCAGGATACCCTCACACTGCTCCATGCGGCCTCACCCCGCCCCGGGCAGCAGCTCCTGAGGCACTTTGGGAGATCGAGACTCCTGGAGAAAACTCTTTGACTGGCAGTCAAATGAAAGTGGCACTCAACCTTACCAAATGTCTAGACACCAATGAATTAAACACGGCGCTGGGAAGCAGAACACAGACAGGTGATAGAGGAAAGAGTTTCTCACCAGATCAAGTAGGTGACTTGAAGGTCATATGTAAGGCATAAAAAGCAAGAAAAGCAATAAACAAAACTGAGAAGGAGCTTTTTGATAAATAATTTGAGGGCCAAAAAATACAGTGGTAATTTGGGTATAGCCATAGACTTGGTCCCTACATTTGTCAATATGTTGGATCCTGAAACTACTAAAGAGAAAGTTTTTACTATTTTATTTGGATTGGAAATTAAGTCCAAATTCTACATTATGTGCTGTAGGTAAAATGCTACATAATAAAAATTAAGATCATTGACTCTTTTCACTGGCTTAAGGTATTACAGTATGTATCTAAGCATTAAGTAAGTGAAATGAGACTCCTAACATTGAGAACATGAAAAATAATTAAAAGGGAAGTGTAGGGGATTATTTATATGTCCACTTAAGCTTGATACAAGTGCAGAAACCAATTTTAAAATTTTA